TATAATTTATAGAGTTTTTTTAATTTGAGTTTTAAAAACACTTTTTAAATATTAATTATCATTAAAAAAATTAATATTTATATAATCAATCGTCTAATTAAAACAATACATATAGCATTGATGATAAATTAATATTAATTATTATTATTTTTTATATTAATTACACATTTAATTTATATTATAAAAGTAAATGTTAGATAACTTTTAATTTATATTAAAAAAACATATTTTTCATAAATATTAAAATAAAAAACTTGATTGATATGCCTTGGATTCTTCCACAAAAGCGAGTTAATCCATGAAATCTGTGTCTGCAATCCTTGAGCTTAAATGGGATGGGAATCAAAACATGTGGTTTTGACTTCTTGAAGGAGTGTTATGTGGGTAAGTATTCTCATGATCTCTTAACTCACAATATCAGTGACATATTAATTCTTTTTCTTTTTCTTTTTTCGAACATAAAAAATTTTACATCACAAAATTTTAAATTATAATAATATTAATAATTTAAAATACACCTAACCATTGCAGTCACTGCGGGTACTATTTCCTCATCTTTTTGGCTTGTGTGCTCAATCAGTGTGTTATATCATTTTCTTTTGGCAGTGGCACATGGCCTATCTAATGATGTATTGTAAGGAAAACGAAATATATAGTAATCTTGACATCAAGCAAACATCAGAATGAGGCAAGGGTTTTTTGTCATGTAGAAAAAAAGTTTCTTTTCACTTTTTAGACTTGTATAGTATAAAACATTTTGTAGATACAATTCAATAATTAGATTAGGTTTGGGAGAATAGTTTGGAGACCCCACACTCACAGACCACAATCAACTGGCTCATTTCAGGCATCACCTTCTCAAATGATGCCTCCCACAAGAGTCCCCCAATGCACTTTTTAGGGATCCACCATTACCACCCAAGTATTATAACCATTCATTACCATCCAAATTCAACAGTATTTTTCTTTTTTGAACACGGGAAATTATGGTAAAAGGAAAATTTATTAAGTAGTTGATAAGAGTTTAATTTTCAATCAATTGAACTCAAAATATTAAGGTTTAAGGACTCAAACATTAAAGTTTAGAGATAAATCATTAAGCTTACAATTGAATTCAATACTGTAATTTCTCCTTAAAGTTGAAGATGAAATGGAATTTTTGCAGGAGCCAAAATAAAAAAAGCCCAGAGATGCTCACAAAAAAGGCACCTTCTGATTTGACTTCCCTTCAATTAAATTCTTTTCCTTTTTATGGATTATATATTCTTTTCTTCCTCCGGTGGGGAACAAAAAGAAGATGCTCCATATAGTCTATTGCATGATGGTTCATTAGAAGTTACGAGGTAGGAAATATCTTGATCGAGAAAAGCGATGTGGGATTAATGCTCATGCAGAGATAATAAACGTCTAAAGTTGCATGAGAAGATTTTTGTGAAAGGAAATGCATTTCTTTAAGCTAGCAAATGTATGGACTAAGAGGTATGCTAACAACTAAAAAGATAAAGAAGATTGGCATCTGTCATGTATAAGCTTAGAAAGGATAATATTTAACAAAAGTTGCTTTGCTGCTTGCAGTAAAGAATTAATTCTTGGAGGAAGAAGAAAGCAAAACCAAAAAAGAGTTAGAGAAGCTTTAATAAATTGGATTTATTGATGTGATGAAGAAAGTAGTCAAGTACAAAGGAATAATAAAATACCCTCAAGTAACTTGAGTTCTACATTCAGTCCATGGCAAACCAACAGTAACAGAAGAAGGCCCTACAGGGGTATCTGAAGAGCTTGGAAATTTACCCTTCTTAGACCATTGCCATATCTTGGAAACAGAAAAGCTTTCACCTTTACTTCTGAGGCTGATCTTCTTCCCCTCAACATCTGCATCATTTGAAGAATTCCCATTTTGTCCTCCTCTCCCTCTTACAAGCTTTACTCCAGAACTTGTGCTGCCAACCCTACTGGGGCATAAGGCTACCTGCAACTCTAATTCAGCTTCAATATACTGATATGACCCCATTGAGTAACATCTCCTTGAACCCAAATCACTTCTGCTCGTCTCTCCCTCTCCTCTTACCACATCTCCATCTCCTTCATTGGAGCTTCTAAATTTACCAAGCCTAACTGAAAACACTCGCTTCTCAATCTCATTTCCTGCTGGCTTAGGACCCAGAGAAACCCCACTTCCCCCATTGATTCGTAATCCATCATCTTCCCTTGGATCTTCAAAGTCAAAAACTGGGTTCTCAAAGGGCAGTTCAGATGTCAAAAGTGTCCCTCTACAAAGAGGGCAAGTTGAATTAGACAGTAACCATGTGTCTATACAATGAATGTGGAAAGCATGACTACACATGGGAAGCAACCTCAACTTGTCTTGTTCGGAGAATTCACAAAGACAAACTGCACAATCAAATGGTTCTTTCAAACCCATTATCTCCTTGTACAGAAACACAGGCAGCGCATCAATCAAAGCCTGATCTAGACCTGAATCATGAAGATGGAAGAGTTGCCGCAATTGTCTTTGGAAAGCATCAGACCCTGACATCTCAGGGTATCTGTCGGATTCAGAAACCGATGAGCTAGATCTATGCTTCATTAGAAATCTAACAACCAAGTGTAGAAGACCAGATAAAAAAAATATGACAGCAAGGATGACTATAATGACCAAAACAGCGGGAGTAATTTTACTTCCTGATGAAGATGGGGGAGTTGATTGCTTTTGATAAACACTGTTATATGGCAATGGAGGAGAAGAAGTAGAAGAAGAAGAAGAAGAAGAAGAAGAAGAAGAAACAAGAGAATGAGGATAAAAGCTCAGAAGACAAATTCTCTGCCTGATTTGAGATTGAACCCAAGACATTTTAGAAAATGGGCATGCCAAAAACCACTACTTGTTTCCAACTTCCATGGATTAAACAAAATGTCACCTATATAACTTCAACACACTATTTTACTAGCTTCCACTGAGATCAAACCCAACTCCCAACAAACTGAGATGAACAAGCAATACCTACATTACTTCTTCTTACACCAACAAGAAACCTAAATTTTACCCAGAATTTGCAATTTAAGTAGTTGCTTGGAAGTATAAAACTTGGTACTAAAACTACAACCTTTTGGACATGAAAACCAAGTGATTGGAATAAAAACAGAAGGGCAAACGTTCTTTTAACTGAGTCAAGGTTTAGGTTTACCTACCTCAGCACGGGAAAACTCTGGCTCAAGTGGAGCCCCATTTTAAATCAGTATCTGCTGCAGGGGAAAAAAACCCTAATTGGAGCAACAATCTTTTAGGGAGTTTTAATTCCTTTTATATCTGGAGGGGAAAGCTTGGTCCGCTTGATAGAGAGAGGACAGAAGGTTGTGGCAGTTGTACACTTGTACTGATAGGCAACTGCCAAGGCCAAGGAAATATCAGCCAAAGAACTCCAAAAGTCAAAATTTTTTATTTAGTACATTATAAATTCTTTATATATATATATATATAAATGAATGAATTCTCTGGTAATGTCACTACAAATTGATTAACTACAATCTACAAAGTCTAAAAAATCCTTTAATAATTAAATATTTAAAATTTTATTTTTACTTTAATTAAAAATTTAAGTTAAATATAAGTAATTAGTCGAATTTTGTAAGTTGAGTTTAAGATCTATATATTTAAAATCAATAAAAATTTAAATTTGATTCGGCTTAACTTATTATTATAGTATTGAGTTTGCGTTCAAGTTTTAAAAAATTTGACTTAATTCATTTATAGCTATACTCAAGTCTCCTATATGATAGAAAAAGTTGTGGTCCAATTTTGCAATCATTTTCCCCTTTTATAAGATAAAATGTTTTTTTTTTTTAAGATGTAAAAAATTAAAATGTTATGACGTTAAAAATATCAAAATATTCAATTATTATTATAAGATGAGTGAAACATAATCTATGTACACTTAAAACTTATTAGTCATGTTTGGTGTAGTTTTTTTTTTTTTTTTGGTTAATCAAAAGGTTAAATTAACTTACGTATAATAAAAATTACATTAACAAGTTCTAGAGAATTCAATCTCTATGATATCCGCTATACAAGTATATTTAATTGGTTAATGCGAAATAAAGTCAAAAACTAAAAAAAATTTCCAAAATATTGTGCCCCATTTTGCCCATTTAATCATGTAGTTAGGATTAAATATTTTGATATTTATAATGACATGATGTTTTAATTTTTAATTTTCTTTTATTTTTTCAACATATTTTGATAGTGATTTTGTAGACTTATCCGGTTGTGCCTTGTTTTATTATGGGACCTGTCTTAAGCTGGCTTAGGCCCACGTCGGATTGAACGGAGCTCAACTGCTCAAGTTTAACAACTAAATGGATTGATGGATCAAGGTCATCCCAGACAATGGACCTTAAATTAGCACAACAATCGTTTCTGGTCCAGAACCTATGGCCCAATCTTCGAAATCTCTAAGGTCTAACATTTGGGTTGGGCCTAACAAGTCTCTCAAACTCATAGGCCGAAAAAGTTTTTGAAAATCTTTATCGAAAAAGTTACTGTAACATAAAAAAAAAGAAGTAGATATATACATATGTATATATATAGAATTATAAGTTGCATTGAATGAAAAAAGTCAATGCAATCCACTAGGACGTGGGTCTGGTGAAGATTAAACTTTTTTTTTTTTTAAACCTGCTACGAAACAGCTAGTAATTCTCTTGTTTTGATGCATGAAGTTTTAAGAGAAGTAATGCTTAAGGATCTTATATAGTTTGGACCAAAACTAATGTAGCCCCTAGAAAAAATGTCACTTGAGTATATAATAATTTAAAGAAAAGAAGGCATAACACAGAAGCACATGAGAATATATAGAAGTTCAATACATTAAGTCAAATTACCGTGTAGACTCCACTAGTAAATAATTGAGTATTATTTTATAGATTAAATTTGTAGTTCAAGTTTTTGTGTCAATATTTAAAAATTTTAATTTCTTTAAATGTACAAGTTGCATTTGGATAGTAATTAATCTCAAAATATATAAAAATTAATTTAAAAATATT